ACAATCTGTTTTTTTGTTTCGTTATTTTTTTCCGTTTCGTTTGTGTGTGTGTGAGAGAAAGAGATATGGTAAGGGGGGGATAAAGGCTCGAGATTGCACCACGTGGCTGTGGCACGTAATGTGATTTGTTTAGCGTTTCCTTTCTTTTCCTTTTTTTCGTGTACGGATGTGTGTAAGTGTGGCATTCTCCGTACGGATGTGTGTAAGTGTGGCATTCTCCGTACCACACGGGCCCAGCAGAGCCCGACCTGGTAGACTAAGGGTCCGTAGGGGTAGGGCCTGTTTCAGGGCCTGTGTCGTTTCGGCCTCCAGCCTGAAAACGACGGGCCATTTTCAGGCCCTCGCAAGATTGACCTACCCTGAAACTCAGGCACCAGACCGGGGTTTTAGCTGAGGCCTTTGAGGCCTATTTTGTGGAGCGTCAACCCCAGGGTCTGGCATGTTTTGGCATAGGCACGAGCAGCCTCTCGGACGGGCCAGCACTATGTAATGCTGACCCGCCCTGCAGGCTGCAGGTGGTTGACAGGCACTTCACGTGCAGAAGGGCAGTCTTCAAGATCTGGCAGCGGCACGCTGGAGGAGTAGCAATAGTAGTAGTCTTCAGCGCTGGGCGTTAGTAGGAGCTTAGAGAGAGAGAGAGAGAGAGAGAGAGAGAGAGAGAGATGGTTGGCGGAGCCCAGGGAGACTCACCTGCGGCGCCATAGCTCCAGCTTTGTCTCCGACATACCTGCAGCCAGGCGCCACCTTTCCAGGTTAGTACCGGACTACGAGAGAGAGAGAGATTGAGTTCTTCTTCTTCCTCCTCTAAGTCCGCGCCATCTCTTCCTCACCCTCCCGCTGCCTGACTTCTCGGTATTTATCAGAGAGAGAGAGAGAGAGAGAGAGAGAGAGAGAGAGAGAGAGAGAGAGAGAGAGAGAGAGATGGGGACATTGGGTTTGACGACATTTGGGTTCAGACTCAGCATCGGGATTCAGACCTTTGGCGAGGGATTATTTGGGACTGTATCGAAGACTTGGTGTTGACGACATTTCAATCTTCCCTCTCCCGCTCGTCTAATCCCCCTCTTCTAATCTCCCTCTTCTTCATCTGTGCATGATCAGGGGACTGACGCATTCTTCCTGTGTGAGCGTCAGCCCCTTCACACCATGAAATGATGATGATGTTTGTTTGGTCTGCATGGCAGCTTGATTGATAGGATCCGTGGTATTCGAGCCTTCCGCTGTGCTATCTTGTATCTGCCGAGAAAGATCGGTTCTTGGTCTGGTCTGCATCGTGATGGTATGCAACAGTTTGGTATCGGAGCGGATCTTTTTCATCAAGATCCGCCCAATCAAGTAGCCAGCTCGCTTGATCTACTGATTGATTGATTGATTGATTGATTTATTGATTTGTTGATTGATTAGTGAATCAAGTAGGGTTTCGTCAAAATCTCTGCAAATCTTTTTTCTTTCTTTTGTCATTTTTTTTTTTTTTTTTTTCCCTCCTTTAGCAACTTCGGATATTAACATTTCGTTTTATCTGGAAATTTCTGATATTGGCATTTCGTTTTCACGCAATAAATATCCGAAAAGTTCTGATATTAGCATCTCGGGAAATTTCTGATATTGGCGTTTCGTTTCCACGCAATAAATATCTGAAAAATTCTGATATTAGCATTTGGGGAAATTTCTGATATTGGCATTTCGTTTTCATGCAACAAATATCCGAAAATTTCTGGTAATAGTATTTCATTTTATCCGAAAATTTCTGGTGCTTGCATTTCGTCCGAAAATTTCTGATAGCAGCATTTCGTTTTCTCTTTGCTATTAGTATCAGAAAAGTTCTGACGTGAGCATCTCGTTTTCTAGGCACATTAGGGTTATGACGAAGGTTGTCATATTGAGGGAAACGGGATTTGTCCCTTTCTAAAAATCGAATCTCCAGCCTCTTTCGCAAAAAGTTGGTCTTTGAAAGCCGAACTTTTGCGAAGCCACCAGCATTTTGGTAGGCATAATTGGAGGTTGTCGTATTCTTGGAAACTGGATTTGTTCTCTTGCTGAAAATCGAATCTCTACCCTATCTTCGCAAAAAAAATAATAATAATAAAAAATTCAAAATCGCTAAACTTTTTTTTTTTTTCGAAAGCGGAAATTTTGCGAAGTCTTGCCTAGATCTCACTCATAGCATTGTCCGTACAATGCCTCACTGCTAGCAGATCAACAGATATAAAAAAAAAAAAAAAAAAAAAAGGGATAACTTCTTTTATATTTTTTCTTTTTTCTGTTGATTAGGACCGGCATGGACATTGCAGTTTGGTGGGTTGCCTGTGTTTCACCCCCACCCACCCCCTTTGCTGTTTTCTCGGCTTGGTAAGTGCCACGCCAGTGCAGTGCCACGTCAGCAGTACCATCCCAGCAGACTACGTCAGCAGTGCCACATCAGCAGCAGGGCCAGGTCAGCAGTACGGCGTCGTCAACACCGTACAGCGAACTGCAGCTTATGCTCCGATGCAGCAACCGCATCGCCGCACGTGACGGGCGGGAAGCCCAGCAGAACAGCAGCTACCTCTGCCCCACCCCTCTGAGATGGACAACCCCACGGTGGACAATGCCGCATCCGGCCGTCCATGCGAGGCATGCAGCTCGAACCCGCCGGCCCCACAGGCCCAGCAGGAGGGTTCCACTGCAACTTCTGCGGGAACCCTCGACGCTGCACCAGTCCGGCAGCAAGGAGAGACCATGACGGCCTTCCTGGCCCGCCTAAGCACTTACATGCAACAAGTCCAAGAGGAACAGCAACGTGAGGCGGCAGCCGAAGAGGCACGTCTCAATGCCATTGCACACGCAGAAGAGCAACGGCGCCGGCAGCAAGCGGACGCAGCTGCCAATCATAAAAAAGCTCGAGGAGATGCGGCATCTGTCCTCATGCAGCAGGAAGCCGCTCATATCGCTGCACTCCAAGCTTGGAATGTTGATCCGGAGGCAGCGACGGAACCAACTACGGAGGAACAGACCAAGTCAACCCTCGCCAACATAATGTACCAAGTCATCCTCACTTGTAATTGGCAACAAGTGGAGCTGGCTCGGCAGGCGCGTACCATTACGATGTATGAGGAGACTCTCAAGAGCCTCCACGCCCGCCTTGACATGCTGGAGAAGGATGACGTGCCGCATAGGCACATGGCATCATCAAGCATTGATCCACCGATCCACGAGCTGGAAGAACGACTGGATCATCTAGTCGCGCTTGTCGGAAATTTCAACAGTTTCCGACAACCGACGACCATCAGCCAGCAAATATCCGCTCTACAAGCGGATCTGCGTCAACTGCAGCAGCAACCAACTGGGACCTGCAACAACGTGACGCCGAAACAATTCAAGATGCCGAAGTTCAGCATCGAGAGGTTTGATAACTACCACAAGGCGGACCCCATCAGTTGGTGGCAAGGGTTCACCAATGAGCTCTCCATCCACCTGGTCCCACCCGAGTCGAAGATCTCAGCACTTTACCTCTGCAGCACCGGTGCCAACCAAGTGTGGCTCAACCACCTGGCTCAAACCGAAGGCGTCGAAGTCTCGAAGCTTTACACCAAGATCACTTGGGAGCGTCGAAGTCTCGAGGCTTTGCACCAAGATCACTTGAAAGGCCATCGTCGACGACGCTCAGGGCAAAGGCGTGAATCGGATCTTCAGCATGCATCAAGGCAGCCAGCCAACACGCGAATGGCTAAATGGGTGGCAGAAAATCGTGAGGATTCCGAATTTGGACATCCCTTTCGTACATCTTCGTCCTGAATTCTTCCAGCGGTCAGTTGACGCGCTGATCACGACCCTTGGAGAGCGCAGCTTGTACATTGACTTTGACCAGATCGTGGAGAAGGCACACGAAGTCATCCAAACCAATAGGTGGGCAGCCAACCAGTGGCGAAGTCAACCGCATTTTGTGGAAAAGGGCAAAGGCCCGCGGCCGCAGCAAGTCGCTGCTGTCCAAGGAAATGGACAAGAGAACGACCAGCGGATGACTCATGAGTCTAGTAAAGGAGACAGAGTCAACGCCCTTCCGCCACGCCGCAACAACAACAACTAGAAGAAGAAGGCAAAATCTGCGTCAACAACGGAAGTCGGACAGCCGAATGAGCCATGGAAGAAGTTCAGCTTCACGGAGGAGCAATACAAACTCCGCCAGAGGTGGAACTGTTGCTACTGGTGCAACAACACCAAGCATACGACGTCGCAATGCCCTGACAAAGGCAAAGAAGACATTTGTCCACGACAAAGCTTGGAAACTGAGCTTCGCGGGAAGTTAGGCGACTCCACTTCCTACTCCGCCGGACACGGTTGCATTGCTAACAACCTCCTCCACGTCCAGGGAACATGCGTATGTAGCCAGTCTTCGCGAAAAGTATGAAGACTATGCGGTCCAGCTGGTCCCGCCGTTGGGCCAACCTCTCCATGTGCAAGACTCATTTGTGTGCGCGACTTCATCACCATCGCTAAGTGAACCAGCATCCTCGCCAACATTACTCGGGGACTCGTCGGTGTGGTCTAGACTGGAGGAACTCGACCCATTGACACCGGAGGACTTCCAATGGTTGCCTCTTCCCCCATCTGGTTCCTTGCCGAAGCCGTATTGCAACGCCCTAATGGCGGAACTACGCAACTACTTGCTTGCTGCAGTACCAGCTCCGTTGATGGAAGACGGAGTAACGGTTGTTGACCTTCGCGAGTACCTTGCGAAGATTGACCGTGAGTACGCCGCGCAACGGTACGATGACACCGACGCAGTGTTACTCTACGTCCGCATTCATATCGGGAAGGCGACCTGCAACGCCTTGATTGATTGTAGAGCTACTCGCAACTACATCATCCAAGACTTCATGACCCGCGCCGGCCTGGGACCGCACGTTCGAAGGAAATCACCACCCACGCAAGTCACGTTGGCCGATCGTCGTACGCACAAGTCCATTGACCGGTGCATTGACGTCCCCGTGTACTTCGCACTGCTTGCACGCGAGGCCGTGTCCTTCGACGTATTGGACACAAAGTTCGACATGATCTTGGGCATGTCATGGCTAGGCAGCAAGGACCACCCGGTGAACTTCTACCGCCGCACCGTTCACGTTCGTGACTGGAATGGGGTACTTGTGCCATGTACGGACCCCCCACCTCATCCTTCGATTGGTTGTCACGTGGTCTCCGCGGCAAGCATTTGTTTGTTGCACGCCGTCCCTCCTCCCAACGAGCCAGCGGCGGAACAGCCACCAGATCCATGCATTGTACAACCTCTGGACTCCTATGGCGACGTCTTTGAAGCCCCCGCCGGAATCGTACCGAATCGGCCAATTCGTCACGAGATCATCCTCAAAGACGGGGCCGTACCTTCGCGCGAATGTATTTACCGCATGAGCGAGGAGGAACTCGAAGTGCTTCGAACGCAACTCGATGACCTCATTGACAAGGGCTGGATTCGCCCTAGCTGCTCGCCCTACGGTGCACTTGTTCTCTTCGTTCGGAAGAAGAACAAGGAGCTACGTTTATGCATCGACTATCGCAAGCTTAATGCTCAAAACATTAAGAATGGCGGCCCGCTCCCACGCATGGACGATCTTCTCGAACGCTTGGGCGGCGCCAAGTATTTCTCCAAGTTGGACCTCAAATCCGGTTACCACCAGCTTGAGATCCATCCAAGAGATGGGTACAAAACCGCGTTCAAGACACGATACGGGCACTTCGAGTGGGTCGTAATGCCATTCAGCCTCACGAATGCCCCGGCCACCTTCCAAGCGGCAATGACAACGGAGTTTCGCGACATGTTGGACTGGTTCGTGCTCAGGATGACATCTTGGTGTATAGCCGAACTTTGGATGAGCACATCTTGTTGTTTTGGACAGGCTACGTACGAGGCCAACCGAGCCAAGTGCGAATTCGCACAGCAAGAGCTCGAGTACTTGGGCCACTTTGTGACGCTGCAAGGCATCAGTCCGCTTGCGGACAAGATCAAGGCCATTTAGGATTGGCCGGAACCGACCAACACCACGGAGGTTCGCTCTTTCATGGGATTGGTCGGGTACTACCAACGCTTCATCGGAGGATACGCACGGATCACCGCACCTTTGTCCAGATTGCAGTCTCCATAGGTGCCCTTCCAGTTCACCGACGAAGTTCGAATTCGTTCCACAAATTGAAGACGGCGTTGCTCGTCGCTCCCGTCTTGAGTATCTACGATCCCACCTTGCCTACGAGAGTGACTACGGACGCTTCCGGCTACGGCATGGGTGCAGTTTTGGAACAACAAGACGGAGTAGATTGGCACCCGGTTGAGTACTTCAGCCAAAAGGTGCCTCCCATCAACTCGGTTGATGATGCGCGGAAGGAGTTGCTCGCGTTCGTCACAGTATTCAAGCGTTGGCGACACTTCCTCCTCGGGTGTCGTAAACTCACTTGCGTGACGGATAATAACCCATTGACGTACTACAAGACGCAAGGCACGGTGAGCAGCACGATTGCTTGGTGGATGTACTTCATCGATCAGTTCGACTTCACACCGAAACACATTCTTGGTCCTCCAACCGAGCTGTGGATGCTGTCTCACGAAGATCAGATCTTTGCGCAGTGACTCACCACGCGTTCAGTTTCGACGAAGCCCTTCATCAGCATTTTGTGCGAGCATACAAGTCCGATCCGGAATACGCCAGCTCTACGAGCAACTATCCTCGGATCACCCGCCGGCCAGCCACTATCGCATCATCGATGGCTACCAGCTGCTTCACTCACGAGGCAAGGACTTACTATGCGTCCCACATGATCGATGTTTACGGACTCGTCTCCTCGGCGAGTACCACGACTCGAGACTCGCCGGCCACCTCGGAGTCAACCGTACGATCGCAAGACTTCGGCAGCGATTCCGGTGGCCTGACCTCATTACCGACGTCACTCGGTATTGCGACTCTTGTGAAGTTTGCCGACGAAGCAAACCCTGCAATCGCAACCCCTACGGTGAGTTATGCCTGTTGCCTATTCCACGGGACCCCGGCCTCTCCATTGCCATGGACGTCACTGGGCCGTTCCCCCGGGACCGCTTTGGGCACGACGACATTCTCACGGTCGTTGACCATTTGAGCAAGTACGCACGATTTCTTCCTTGCAAGTACCATGCCACGGCTCCGGAACTTGCACGCCTCTTACACACCGGCTGGATTTGCGGCCACGGCGTTTCGGAAGACATTGTTAGAGACCGCGATGCGCGGTTCATGTTGGGATTTTGGACCTCTCTCATGAAAGAGTCCGACACCGAGATGAAACCAAGTTCGGCTCGGCATCCGCAAATGGACGGGCAGATGGAGCGGGCACATCAAACCACTCAAGTAATGCTTCGCACACTCATCCGTACGGATCAGAAGGATTGGGTCGACCGCCTCCCCGACATCGAGTTCGCCTACAACACTTCGGTGCACCCGGCGATCGGCGTGACTCCGCCCGAGTTACACCACGGTGGCCCGCATCTTCGCTGATCTTCCTTTTCCAAGGATTGCCGATATTGATGCCGCTTGTTCGCCCGCCTCCGTTCGGAAGTATAGGGACTTCCTATCTAAAGCCCGCACCAACATGCAAAAGGCTCAAGCCCGCATGCAACCGCAAGCTAACAGGCGTCTCGTGGCATGCCCCATCCGCGCTGGCGACCTTGTTTGGGTCTCCACGGAAGAGTTTGCACTTGGGCAGGATGTATCCCGCAAGCTACTTCCAAAGTGGTTTGGACCATGGCCCGTCACATCAGCCACGGGTGATGAGCCCGATGGCCCTTCATTCGTGACCGAAATCCCGCCGCACCGCATGGTGCACCCGGTTTTCCACGCCTCCAAGCTGGCCACATACACCAGCCAAGAGCGACGACTTCCCGGGACGACGATCACAGGACCCTCCTTCCATGGATGGTCATCAGGAAGTCGACCGCGTCATCACTCATCGCAAGCACGACAACAAGCCTATGTAGTACAAAGTCACATTCAAGTGGTGCGACCCTGATGACACGCAATGGATTTCCCGGGCAGCTTAGCGAGCCTCCGCTCCTAACATCTATGCTCATTATGAGAAGAAACGGCTAGCGACGGAAGCTGCACACCCTCCCACCCGGACTTCAGTCCCATCCTCCACCAGACAGCATCGCCCTCGCAGGTAAGCTCGGTCTTTCAAGGAGGGGGGAGTGTGGCATACTCCGTACCACACGGGCCCAGAGGAGCCCGTCCTGGTAGACTAAGGGTATGTAGGGGTAGGGCCTGTTTCAGGCCCTGTTTCAGGACCTGTTTCAGGCCCTGTTTCAGCCTCCAGCCTGAAAATGACGGGCCATTTTCAGGCCCTCGCAAGATCGACCTACCCTGAAACTCAGGCACCAGACTGGGGTTTTAGCTCAGGCCTTGTGGAGCGTCAACCCCAGGGTCTGGCACGTTTTGGAATAGGCACGAGCAGCCTCTCGGACGGGCCAGCACTATATAATGCTGACATGCCCTGCAGGCTGTAGGTAGTTGACAGGCACTTCACGTGCAGAAGGCAGGAGATAGTTTTCAAGATCTGGCAGCGGCATGCTGGAGGAGTAGCGATAGTAGTAGTCTTCAGCGCTGGGCGCTAGTAGGAGCTTAGAGAGAGAGAGAGAGAGAGAGAGAGAGAGAGAGAGAGAGAGAGAGAGAGAGAGA